GGGGGAGACCTGCCCACCCCCTCTCTGCCCTGCCAGATGATGAAGTCGGCGGTGGCTGCGGCGGCCGTGCGGCGCATGAACCCCGATATCAGGGTGACAGCTCACCAGAACCAGGTGGGACCTGCCACTGAGCTGCTCTATGGGGATCACTTCTTCCGGAGCCTGGATGGTGGCCTCAGTGCCGTGGACACGCTGGAGGCCCGTGAGTGTGGGGAGGGAACAGGGGCTGAGCTGGCAGCCGTGCCTCCTGGCTGCCAGGCACCCCCCTCTCCCCACAGGCACCTACTTGGAGAGCCGCTGCTTCCGCTGCCGCACCCCACTGCTGGATTCGGGCACGGAGGGGCCACGGGGCAACGTGCTGGTCATGGTGCCCTTTTTGACCAAGCCACTTGAACCAGCCAGTGCCCCTGCAGATGGCACCTTCCCCCTCTGCACCCTGCGGTACTTCCCCCTCAACATCCAGCATACACTGCAGGTAGGCTGTGGCACTCCAGCACCACACAAGGAAGCTCTGGCACCTTTGTTGTCCTTCTCTGTTTCCCTCTCCGGCCATGACTATGGCCACGGGTAGGATTCAGCCCCAGCTGCTTCCTGCCAGCAGTCTGAGTGTTGCCACCAGCCCCAGCATGGCCTCTCCCTCCTCTAGTCTTGGTCTGGGGGTCAGGGAGGGAGGCAGGATGGGGATGTTCCAGTGCTCATCCCTGCTCCCCCTCCACAGTGGGCCTGTGACGAGTTTGAGGGGCTCTTCCAGAAGACAGCAGAGCATGTCAACCTGTTCATGGAGTGAGTGAGCCTGAGGAAGCAGGGCTGGGAGAGCAGCTGCTGGCACTGCCAGGGTCCTGGTGGGGTTGGGGAGAGGTCCCATCTGGGGCACCCCACGGGATTGCTTCTGGGCCAGTACCTGGTTTTGCAGAGACCCGGCTTTCCTGGAGCAGCTGCCAGCAAGGAAGGCCCTGGAGATCCTGAAGCAGCTGCGGGAGAACCTGCAGGAGCGGCCGCAGGACTGGCAGGACTGTGTGCGCTGGGCCCGGCGGCACTGGCAGCGCCGCTACCACGATGACATTGCCCAGCTGCTGCACGCCTTCCCCCCGGAGCATGTGAGATCATGGGGCTGGCACCCCCTACACCCCCTCCCATGTTCCTGCTGCCCTACCATAGCTGGGGGGTGGCATCCCCAGGCCTAACTCTGCTCTCCCTGCACCAGGAAACCAGCCCAGGTGTCCCCTTCTGGTCTGGGGACAAGAGGTGTCCCCGTCCGCTGACGTTCGAACCTGACAGTGTGAGTGTAGGGGAGAGCCACAGAGTCCCCCAACAGGGACAGTGCAGGCTGGGGGAGAGCTGAGCCTGTGCCAGGGGTATGATGGATGCCAAATCGAAGAACTTAGCTCCTATGAGGGTGGTGAGACACTGGTTGCCCAAAGAATCTGTGGATGCCCCTTCCCTGGCAGTGTTCAAGGCCAGGTTGGATGGGGCTTGGAGCAACCTGGTCTAAGTGGGAGGTGTCTCTGCCCATGGCAGAGACTTAGGACTAGGTGATACTTAAGGTCCCTTGCACCCCAAACTGTTCTGTGATTCTTTTATTCTGTGATCATAGCAATGACCTGTCATAGCCTTTCTGGGGCTGCCCAGTCTTAGGCTGGGTCTGTCCCCATTCCCCTACTCAGTGAGGGCACTGCTGGAAACAGCCGAGGCAGTTCCATCTCCACCTCAGGGCAAAGTGGGCAGCCTTGGGCTGTGGACTCGCGGACCACCCTGGCGAGGCACCCCATGGCCCCTACTCTGCCCCCCAGGACACCAACATGGCGTACGTGCTGGCTGCTGCCCACCTCTTTGCCCAAGCACACAAGGTGCCACCATGCAGCGACCGGGTGGCCACCCAGACCCTTCTCCACAGTATGGTCGTGCCACCCTTTGCACCCCTGGAGGGGCTCCAGATTCCACTCATGGAGGAGCAGGAAGAGGCACAGGAACCCACAGGTGAGGGTTTCTGTGCTCCTACATCCCCTGGGATGTGTGCCTGGGTCCAGCCTGGTGGTGGTGGGGCTGTGGTGCTGCTCATCCCCGCCACAGCAGCCAAGAGGACCTGGACCAAGATAGGGGGCATCATGCCATGCCCCCAGCAGTACCATGGTGCATGGGTACCACCCTGGATGTCCCTGTGTCCCCAGACCATGGGCAACTGGCAGAGCTTACCGAGGACCTGATGAAGTGGAGACAGGATCTGGTAGGGGATAAGGAGGTGCAATTGCCCCTGATGGAACCCATCCACTTCGATAAGGTACCTGGGGCCAGACCCTATTCAGCCCAGGGGGATGGTGGCTGCTAGTACGATCTGTGGGACACTGGTGTCCTCGTGTAGAGCTGATGTCCCCACGCTGTCCCCCACAGGACAACAACCTCCATGTGGACTTTATTACAGCAGCCTCCAACCTACGTGCAGAGAACTACAGCATCCCCCCAGCCGACTGGCTGACGGTGAGAGGGGCAGCCATGGGGTCAGGGGTCCCCATCCTGTGTGGAGCAGCCAGTGATGTCCCTCCCACCCTCAGAGCAAGCGGATTGCAGGGCGGATCGTGCCCGCCATCATCACCACCACAGCAGCCGTGGCTGGCCTGGCGTGCCTGGAGGTCTACAAGCTGGTCTGGGGGTGCCAGGACCGCAGCTGCTACCGCAACAGCGACGTCTTCCCCTCTGGCTTCCTGCTGCTCCGCTTCCAGCCCCCGCCACCCCACACCTACAGGGTAGGACCTTCTCCCCCAGGGCAGGACCGGTGGGGGATGCCATGGGGTCTTGTGGTGACCCAGCTCCTGGTGGCAACTGTAGTAGGGTGGTGCCAGGGGGTCCCAGGAGCAAGGAGGTGGCTGTGCAGGAGGGGCAGCTCTGGAAATAGATCTGGGTGCTGGGAGTGCCACAAGGCAGCGAGGAACCAGCTCCATCCTGCAGTCACACCCCTGGCACCCAGCCACCACCATGCTGCTCACCCTGGCTTTGGGATTCTCCAGGGTGCCCATGGGACTGAGGCAGCCCCACCACCCCACACTGGGCCCCACAGTGAGCCCCATAGCCAGCAGTCAGGGGGCCACGGCAGCCATGCACATCTGGCTTATGGAAACCAGCTGTGGCAGCCCGAGAGCAGCAGGCAACC